TAAATTGAGATTAATACCGTTTCAGGATATTGCAGAAATGGATCGTTTCGCTAAAAATGAATTTATTCAGTTATGAAAGCCCTGATGTGTTTTTTTGAACAATTTTATAATTGGGTATATTTTTGGGCATTAGAACATCGATGTTGGTATTAAATTTTGTTCATCTCCTGGACAGCACGAAAAGGATTACCTATTATGTTCGAAGAACATCGTGCGTTTTTAGGGGGGATATAAAGGAGAGAAATAAGGTAGGTATTGAAATATTTTTTGAACTTCTAGAGATAATGAGCTCTTGGGAATACTTCCTTTGGCGAAGAGAATTCCAAAGCTTTGCCGTCATATAGAGAAACAAGTGTTGGTAAAGAGTTGTTCCTCAAATATTTCGGGATTGCGATGACGACGAAGAGAATATGCTGACTGACTGGCTTGGTATGATTGTAAAAATCTATTGATTTTTTTATCGATTATTCGTGAAGTCTCTTCCTCCATTTCTATGAAACTTGGTGGTTTTGTGACATGGAGCTTCTTATTCTGGTGTGATTAGATTCGATATGATACTTCCAGAGGCGTCGCAGTAGGGAATTACCAATAATATTTATGATAAATATCACTATACGAGTTTTATATTTTCATTAGATTGAACAATTATATACACCTTTTTTTATGTCATGTATTTAGTATCTCGCTTTGTTTGTGAAAAAACAGTGAACATTTCATTTGACTCTCATAGCAAATTCCATTGGCAGGAACTGGTGGTGTTTCTGCACTCAATGTATGTTTTCTTCTTACTCTTAAACTGAGGTAAATATACACTCAGTGGAGAAACACTCCACCAGTTCCTGATGCCAATGGATTCCACTATACATTTCAATGTAGGTGCTTCCAACACACCCATATTATTTAGATTACCCACTAAATTTTGGCACCATAAAAGCTCATACAGGGGGTCATAAAAAACAATGAATACTTCCAATCTCGACATCCTGTAAATCTCAAAAACGAAGCAAGTTAGGAGATCTTTATATGAAACATAACAAGGAATCACCTCCTGATTTTTATTTGCTCATATTTATTCACACTCTGAATTATTGTAGTTTCTCCACTACTAGCACATATTTTCCAAAAATGATTGCTGTTTTTTTTTATAAGCATTGGGTGCTGTCAATAATTGTTTTCATAATTGACTAATAGTAAATTTTATCAACAATCAAAGGTAAAAATGTGTTTTTTCACTACGCCGCTTCACTATAGCATGAAAGTAGTGTCCCTGAAAGATGATGAAAAATTGAGTTTTTTAGTGAATGTCGAAAGATGATGAAAGTGGAAAAATGCGACACCTTCAACTCTGAATAATTATGACTTGAATAATTGTTCAACATTTATTTCTAGTTTCTAGCCGAAACTACTCAACTAGTAACAATATAAAACTTTTCAATTAATAGCATCTTTGGATGATGACGGTAAATCAAAAGGTAATGACATGAATCCGGACTCTCCTGTACTACAGGGAATACTAGGAATTTTCGACCCTTGTTTAGAAAAACCCGTATACTCCGCAGCAGTGGGCTTCATGGGCGGAGGTAAACTTATAGCAGTTGTTTCCTCGATGTTATCTAGCAACCTCTCTTCCGGAACGGGCATATCCTCTAAGAAAGGCAGAACGAAATCGTCTTTCTTCAAAGGTTTAGCTTCCGGTTGTGGAAACGCAGCAGACGGTACCAGCGGACTCTGCATCAATAAACAGGAACTCCCAAGTGGGCTGAAAGGATCAGGTGTTGAAAAACTAGGCGTTGGTGATTTCCGCTTTTCTGGGGTCAGTTCATCGGCCATGCTGTTCTCAGCACTCAGGTCGGAGAAATCGATGTCGTAGTTAATTTTCGACAATCCCGCATAGCTACTGTCATCTGGTGTTATGCTATCGATACTTCTGTCCATCGAGGACAAGAATTCCGTTGACTGAGAAGGTAGTACTGCACTAGTACTGTCAGCTATTGTTATGCAAGGTGTCAATTCCAACTGCAGTTTATTTTTTGTGCTATCTAAGAGGTTGAGTTGCGCCATCGAGAGGTTTTGCAAGTAGTAGTTTTGTGTGGGGTTTTGATCTTCCAGCTCATTATTGTGATCCGTTGGGATATTTTCGTTCGTAGACAGTGGTATGAGTACAGCAGATGTTAAAGATACGTTCTCTTTTGTTAGCTGGATCAAAGTTTTTCTTGGTTTTATGATGAGTGGAGTACGCTCCAGGACTGAGGTAACTTTTTCGGTTATTTCCTCCTGCAAGAAAAAAAATGTGTGAGAAAGTGAGGACTGAAACAGCTCTCGTGGAGGAAGCATATAAAAAATTTGAAATGCTCTGAATTCCAATAATTCTCGTTAGTACATACACAGAGTGGTCATAATACAGATTGTGGGAAATTTTTTAATTGAGAGATTCAATTTATCTGTAGTAAGAGATCTATAGTTACGCTTAACAGTCTGTTTACAAGAGGTCTATTTCTAACTTAACTGATATGAATGATATTACTACTTCAGAGTAGGAATATTTATTCCATTTTTATTTTTATAATGATGAAGTTCAATGCCAAAATCTTGAATGATTGCATTCATCATTAGTAAGCATAGAAAAGTATACATTGGTATTCTTTGAGATTGCATTGAAATATTCCATGAGTGTAAGATGACTGTCATTGGAATATTGTCTGGGAATTATAAATCTTTTCGTATTCTATTTTCCATATATTTCGCGATATCTGAAGATATCATATATGAATATATTGACTCTTCTCATCTCCATATATCTTATCATCAATGTTCGAGTTATTAAGACACATTCAAAGACACAAAGTTCATAGTTTATCTGTAACATTGAAATGCTATATTGACTAAGTATTTTCAACTGATGTTTTGAAATCTGAAGGAATCAGAATCAGCGCTATATATTTAAAAATTATCATGTGTATCATAGTGAAGTAGTTATGGGTGAAAACAACTCATTTTTAGATGACGATTTATCTGCTACATCTTGTTTTTCAAATTATCATATTCTTGAAGAATTTTGACGTGAAAAAATACTCTTGATTCGAATAGGGCTAATTATTATCCAGAAAACTGCTATTCATTACACCAATACCTATTATCTACTGCCTTAGTCACCATCAAAAAGGAGGTTGTACGCCTCTGATGAAAATGTAAAATTCTGAGCTCAGAATCTAATTTGGTGACAAAAATAAAGGCAGTGCATTATTGAATCAACAAGGAATATTCTCAGTTATGTTATGACCATGAAAAATATTTATACATATAAACAAAAACATTTAGAATTCGTATACTCTATGTAATGAAAATCGTAATTATTTCTCGGTATATTCAACAGAAAACAACTGCTTTCCTGGGTATATACTACGACGAACATCGAATTATATCTATTGAACATACACAATAAGAATTTAAGAATAAAATTATCGAAAATGTTGCACTCGCCCTATACATATGAACTACGAGTACCTTTTTTACGTGAAAAACCTACAGGTAGGGATCTGAAATCTGAATAGAACACAAAGAATGCATGGTATTATTCTTACCATTCACCCTGTCAGTACGATACGCCACTGATTCAAATTTTGAGCTCAAATTCTAATACATCATACAAAATTTATGTGACATACGAAATTTTCTGATTCTTGAATGCTCCCTCCATTTCAAGGGACATAGCTCTCTTTGGAAGCTTTTCTGAACAAATAAATGTAAGCATTTATTTTTATAAAAATACCTCAGGGGTGATCAACGTAGTATTTACCAATATTTATGAAACACCCTCTATATCTCATGTACAATAGTGTTTTCATAATTTTCATTTTATTGGAGTCCCCAAGTCAGAGGTCCTAGCTTATTCTTCTAGAGATGATCTCTCATTTGTTATTGCACTGTTGGATATTTTATGTTGTTATACTTGTAGATGAACGCCGCACTACATCATTTAATAATTTCATTCAATGAATTATCGTAATCTGCAAATTTTGGAATTAGTGGAATGGTTGTATATTTAATAGCAACAATATACTGTGAACAATTGGTTGCCCTTGTAGTGGTTTCTTCTTGGTTATTATTACCTTTTTGTCTAACTCCAGTGTTTCGGACATTTTGTTTATGAATCAGTCCTCATCAGTGACATCAAGATGTTTTCAGTTCAGAGAGCAGAATACCAATCGGTTCATCGGTATCACAAGAGTTGCCATTTCTTTGTCATTGGAATAGTGCAATTTTTTGTAGGCAATAATTATACGAATCGACTGTATTAATGAATTCAATTTCCTCATAATGGAACACACCTTCAATACTGCTATAGTCACGTTCGGTATTTACATCGCAGATTAGAGCAGATTCTAGTCACGTGGTCACAGATAGATCGGAGCAATCGGCAATAAACGAACGAAGTGGACATTTTGTTGACAGTGTGACGGTAACCTAACCTAACCTTTATTTCATTTATTTTTATTTCAATGAGTATACCAGAAATTTTCTTTTTCTTGTTCTTTTTCCAAAAGAATCGCAGCCAGAGTGAAATCTTTAAGGCAAAATATAGAAAAAATAATTTTGAATTTATCATCAAAACACATTAATTAAATGTGTTCACTTACTATTATTTGTGACAATTTCTTCATAATTCTCTCTGACACCATAAAGGTGTGTGTTTTGTCTTGTTCAGAATCAAAGTTGTATTTCTTTCATTATGAAAACGATATTTTGAAAATACGAATACGAGCACAACGGCCAGTCATACATAATTATTTGAACATTAACCTCACAAATTCAGATCAATCGCTTTGCTCGGTCAAAATACTCCGAGCACTAAGATCTTTCTCAGATCGCTCCGATTTTAATTGCCGAACGGATGAGATCTACTTCCCTACACCTAGATGTCATAAACGAACGATTCAGACATCGGAGCAGTCTGATGTAAATACCGAACGCGACTTATGAATAGTCAATAGATTCATCTAACACACATATTGTCCGTAGCTGATGGTATTTTCAACTTTTTTCATCTCATTTCAATTGCATTTCATTGATTTTCTCCATTAAATATTTATGTTATTTTGATTTTAATGTCCAATTTTTCTTTTCAGACAAGGAACAACTATTCAATCAAGTGTTTTCTCACCAAGTTATTGGAATCGATGTCAATGGATAGCTTCCTGAAGCTTTGATTAATGTACAATATTCAAGATGAAACTGACTTGGCTATGGCTATGCAAGTTGATATTTTTTAGATATCTGTATATCAAGAATTCTGAGTAATCCAGATTTCATATTTCTGAGAAAACCTCTGATGGGCACATAATTGGTCAAGATTTTTCAACAGATTCAACTGATGATATCCAATCAAAATATGATTTGAAAAATCAACTAGCTATATTCACCTACGTATACCTGTATTACCTATATTATATAACTTGAGTAGCATTAATAGGTACAACCTGAAATTTTGCAAAAATTATACAGTTCAAGGAAGTATTTGACTCATCACAATATTATACTTTTTTTTTAAATGACAAATCAAAAAATGCTATGAAGTAATGTAATATTTTTATTCCAAGAATTCTCATCTCAGATCATGAGTTCATTCTTGTGAGGTTATTCATGTTACGTCTTCGGTGAATTTTAGCATCTTATGAAATGGTTCGACATTCACATTTACTATATCTTGCAAGATAAGTTGCTTAATCAGATCCAAACGAGCATATTCAACAAAATTATTTGCTAAATTCTGGAGAATGTCTGTATATTAGTATACTAATAAATTATTATCACATATAATTGCCACTCATATTATTTGTGTGGATGAAATAAGGGTATCAGAGGCATAACACTATGTTTCAAAATATTTATTATCAGAATGTAGAAATGATCACATAGAATGATTGTTTGAACACAGTGGAATAATTCTTAAAATTACAACATAGGTAGGTATGAACTCTCCAGAAATAAACTTGACTTTCAGAAATTAGAGGAAGATTATGTCAGATTAACAAATTTAAAATTATTACCTTTACATCAACCAAAATAGTAGGTGTTCATGAAATATTAAAAATGATCTAGCACGTTATGGAATGTGAAAAAAGCTGCAGAGACAAAAATTAATTTAACATCCAAAATCCCTATGAAATTAAACCAGTTTGAATATATTCATAAATTACCAACTATACCTTCAACTTTTGCATATCTTCCATCAGCTTTTGTGTGTCATCTTTGACAGTATCTGTCCTTTCTGAAAGCCCTTTGAGGAGTGCAAGATGCTCACAAAGTTGGTGCATCCCTTCGCAAGCCACCAAAGCCGATTCCCAAGCACTGACGCAAGTCAGTTCACCGGACATGTATGCCTCAAACTCTTGGGCAGGCATATTCAGGGATTCTGCAGTTAGGTTCTCGATGAAAGATACTGCACAGCACTAAAACATATTAATAATCATTTACAGGGCGTCCCTTGAGAATGTGTGAAAGATCGGGTGATATTTTGAAAAATGCATAGGGTTGTCATGAAAATCCGAGAGGTAGACATATATGTGAAAACCTAAAAAAACTGTGCCACAAGTAAAATAATTACTCTGCTCAAAGTCAAACATTTCGAATTGACTGTCAGGATTTTGGGTTGCAACAATTTGCTTTTCAATAAGGTGAATAATGAACATAATAATAATCTTTATTATTCCCAAGAAAAATATATGTTTATAGCAGGGAAAATTATGAAAGAGCAAAAAGAAAAAATAGAATTAGAGAATCAGATAATCATTTTTAAATCACAAACATAGTACATACGATGTTGTTTCTTCTAGAGACTGTTGAATATAAGTTCTAGAATTGATTTAGAATGGATGATATAAGAGAATCAAAGACATAAGTATTTTTTCAGTTCTTTCTTGAATTTCTCAACATTTAATCTTTTCTTCTATCTGGCAGGTAATTCATTATAGAGGATTGTTCCATTGTATAAAATAAATTTTTTACCCATATCATATTTGATGAGAGTTAACATATCTTTTTGTCTGGTTATGTGTTCATGTTTATGACTATTGACTTCAAAATTCAGATTTGAATGTTTATAATTATATTTGACGGAATGGATGAAATTTGATATTTTGAATTTGTAAATGGAGTTAATATCTAACAATTTCCTAGGTTCATTAGGATTTCTTGTTGTCGGTTCCAAGTTATCTAGTTTGTATATACATTCAATAACTTTGTTTTGAAAGATTTTGATTGGCTTCATAATTGATAACCTAGCTGTACCCCAAACTGAAATCAAGTATTGTAATTTTGAATAAATCAAAGAAAAATATATACATTTTGAGTATTTCAAAGTGATTTGGTGTCTGATTCTGTAGATTACTAAAAGTACAGCGCTTATTGAAAATTTACATTAAACAAACCAATATCAATCTATTTTGAGATCAACCAATGTCGGCCAAACGGAGAAGAATCTACTATTATGATAATATGAAATAACATCGTTTTAAAATATGTTCTTGATTTCAACATGTAACGTGCACCTTCACCTTTATCAACTTGAAAGTGAGTAATGAATATTTCTGGAAATTTGAACATAAGACTCAGATTCGGTAAATTCTGTTCTACCATTTTTACGAATTTCAAAATAACATCGAGCTTGATTATTATGTTTCTTGCAAAGCACCGGTTAAAGGGCCAAGTTATTGTAAAGGGCCATGTGCCTTTATGAAAGCGCATATATTTAGTAATTCAATGGCAAAACCCATAATTAGAAAATACAAAGAAAAACGGTGGAGTCGAATAATACTCAAAACGGCTAACTTACTGATGATGCATGATATTTTTGAAAATAAAGATCACATTGTTGGTCTACTGTAAAGTTTTTGAATCATCATCAGCAGAAAAGAATAATCTTCCACATTTGATCAGGTTGACTCTAAAGATTTTTTTCTACAACCGACTAACAAAGTAGGCTGTGACGCTTCAAAATCACAACAAAACGAATAGAATTTGCCACTTACCAATTTTTTCATCACGAAAAATACTGTCAGTGAATTATTCGCGATAGAAAATAACTTTAACACTTCTGAATGGTTTGTTTTGATGGAAATATGTGACCAATAAGCTCAAACGAAAACAAATGTGAACCGAAACAGACTGCTTTGCCAGCTTTCAAAACATCTGATAGATGTCGTTCGCTTATTTTCTATCGCAGATGAAATACATTTCTTGGTGATGCAGGAAGTGTGAAAATTGTAACTTTAAATCCTACATTCCTATTCTGAAGAAGTCAAGGAAAAAAGTAATATGAATTATAAGTCATTCATAAATTGGTGCCACTTCAAGAAGCTGAATAAATATCCAGAAAATGTGTACTGCTTATTTAAAAGAAAAATTAAAGACTCTATAGTCATCAAGGTGAATTTCAACTCTTTGTAATCCAAAAAGCAGTTATCTTTGTTTTTTGATTCGAGAACAGTGTAATTTGAAATTATAAGTAAAATAGTCATATAGCATAGGGGCCAGAATTTTTAGGGAAAATCTTGTTGATAACAAAGTGCTATTGCCGCTTTATAAAGATTACCGCATTTGATTATTTTCAAAGAATTATTGAGGTGATTGTTAGTTTATTGATCTAGTAATAATGGGGTTGTACACACTAGTCGAATTTACGCCACAAACCTATTTCATATTGATCATTACATGTATAAATAGTATTTAATGCAATCATTCGTTATTTAAAATCATCTGAAAGATTTTTTTTTAATAATGAAATTTGGCACCCTGGAGAAAGCCAGGTTCGATGACGTCATGAACCGAACCGAAAGTCATCGTTATCTGAATCCCGGTTTTCGCATAAAAATTAGGACTACATATTTCGACGCTGCCAGATTTGTAACTAGTAATTACCTTATGAGATGTAATATGACCAATGACAATAGTATTCACATTCGCAGAAGACAATAGTTCCACCTGGTTTCTAATAATTACTTATTGAATACTTATATACTTGCCAGATGCTTCAGTACAAATAAAAATATCCCAGTATTCCTAATAATGATCGAGATTTTATTCAAACCCTAATTATTTTGTGGTACTGGCAGCAGCGTAATGCCTAGAGTTCCCAGAAATACAAGAAGAGAAGAAGAAGACGAACTACATTATCAACCTAACTTCCTAACGTCACCTTCATCTTCAAATCCTTGTTTCATCTAGTCAAGATGCGAATATTTAAAGATTCTTCTTATTATCTGATTCTTCAGTTTTGTGTTGAGATCTCTGTTATCTGCAGTAAGTATCCAGTCCAGAGAATTCACTAGAGTCTAGGGCGAGCACCTTCTGAGGAGGCGAACTTTTTTCATATTCTGATTGAAATGACAATTATAAATATTCTTGCACTCGTGTTACAGACAAAGAGAATAGATACGTATGTCGAATTTTTTCGAATGATTACGTCATGCGTTTCCCCGCGTTTTTTATGCTACGAAATATCGTGAATTTCAATAATCATTTGAAATGTGTACAAAGCTCTGGGGAAAAAACGGTTTGCGACAGGGAACTCTAGTAAGAGTTAGTACTTCAAAAAAATGAAATAAAATTTTTCACTAAAAGAGGCTCATTGATTATCATGCACTGTTTTGTCTACAGGCGATCTGATCAACATACCACAGATTTGAAACTCACCAAATTTGTAAAATAATAACCAGCTTCTCCTTGCATCAGCCTCGTATCATTACAAAATCTCGTCACGTACAAAATGTTGCTCTTTAGTCTGGCCGGATTTGCTTTCAAGACAACGAAAATCAACGCAGGTAAGAATTCATCGGCGCTCACAGGACCTCCTTGGCAATGCTGGAGGACTTTGACAACACTTTGGCAGCATTTTACAACACAAGTGAGTTTTTCTTGTGGTGTTTTCATTGAGTCCATGCCCAAAAGATCATTGATAGCAGAATAAACTAGATCTGAAAAGAACAGTAGGTAGGTAATTTTGGAGATTGAAAAATACAGTATGCCTGGAAAGGTCATGTCGTAAATGATAGACCTTTCCGGACACTCTGTATAAAAGTATATTTATAGAGCGGACAGATCAGTTCATTTATCCTTGATGCATGTGGATAAACTTCATTCCCAGTAAGCTAACATTAGAGTTCCTAAATGTAATTGACACTGCTGTTTTTTGTATATCAGAGTACGGACACTAGACAAGCAGTGGCAATCAAACATAACCACAAACGATTTTGAAGCAAATCATATGTTTTGCCAGACAAGGACGAGAATATGTTTTTCGCTTTGATAAAGGATCCTCGCATCTTCCTTCCTCCACAAGTCCGGTAGAGAGTGCATCCCTATATCTTTCCCTGTCTTTGATTTTTGTATGAGAGTGCATAGCGTCTCCTAGAGTGGGTAAAAAGGTACGATAAATTGATTAGAAAATTATTTCTTCCCGTAATATTGAATGATGAGGCTGAAGGACTTCAATGGAGGTCGATATCAAGTTGGTATGTACATATATACTAACGAAATACATATACTATTCCTATGAAATAAGTTCGATATCAAGTTGGTATATACATATATACTAACGAAATACATATACTATTCCTATGAAATAAGTTTCGTATATAAATATATACGTTCAGTTGAAATTTTTTTTTATCACAAAAGTTCAAAATGGGGTAAAAACTGATAAATTTCATAGAGATTATAGATACATCAATATCTGGTACATCAGAGTTCCACAAAGTGACTATATGTTTCCACAAAATTATTATAAGAGTTCGTATACGCAATAAAGTCATATAACCTGTGTGTGAGAGATAATATTTCCCATATCGCTGATATGAATGATTATTTTTGGAAGTTTTCAAGCTCATCAAGATCAGAGTTTATGCCAGTATACTTCTCCTATACATTCCAATTTTCATTTCAATGCTGAATATATTGGTAAGTTATATTTCTATATCATTATACATCATATTATTCATCCGATTTGAAGAAGAATGTCAGTTCTACATTTCGGAGGATTTTATTTTTCATTATTCATGTTCTCCTTTCGAATGTTCTTCAGATATAATTCAATGTTCGACGTGGCAAATAGCCAGGAAAGTAGTTGTTTTCTGTTGAATATTCAGAATGATGTGTGCATTATACATATTTTTGTCTGAAGGAGAATGTAAATTCTCAATTTCAGAAGTTTTTATATTTTATTTTCAAACTCTTATCGTGTGTGTTCAAAAGATATAATTCAATGTTCGTCGTGGCATATAGCCAGGAAAGTAGTTGTTTTCTATTGAATAAACTGAAAAATAGTAGATATTCTCATCACATAGAGAATGCGAATTCTCAATGTATTGCTTCATATAAATATATATCCATTTTTGTATGTTCATAATTTATCTGAGAATATTCCTTTTCAATACTTTCATACCCAATCAGGGGGTTCAAACTTGAACGATGGAAACTTGTGATTTTTATAGACCTCTAATCGCAGATTCGTGATAGAGTCTCAATTCAGAATTTCTTTCAACGCCCTGTATGATGAATGTCAATTTATCATACACCCAAAAGCATTCGTATACGAAGTTGATCTAAAGGATTATTGGTTGAATATTCCTGCTCTAAAAATTCAAATTTCAAGTCTTTTTCTTTCAAAATATGTTCGAAATGAATTACATGATCTGCAAGTATTTCGTTTCTTGTTGGCTCTAAATTGGAATGAGGTTCTTCTCGATACTCGCGCTCAGTTTATAAATTGTGGGCTCTTTCTCTCAATACGATCCTATTCTTCAACATCAAATCTTCCGTTCTGAAGTATACTTGATAAAAATGCGTTGAAAAATGTTCTATATCCTACCAAGAAATTTGATTACCTCGCAAATTTTGCGGCCAGAACCTATATTCCATGCCGGCCGCATCATATTCTGTTTCCATTTTTGTAGAATTACGTTATCCGATGGAAATTCGAATAGAGTGAATTGATTTCCCGTGTTCTCACAGTTGGAAACTGCACAAACTTGCATATTTCTCCAAATTTTTTTTATCGCTTGGAGCGCACGAAAAGAAATCCCTATAATGTTCAAAGAACATCGTGCGTTCCTAGGGAGGATAGGGACAGGAGGTAGGTATTGGAATTTGTTTTGAACTTCTGGAGATTATATGTTGTTGGGAATACTTCCTCAGGCAATGAATTCCAGAGCGTAGCTGTTCTATGGATGAAGGAGTTTTGATAAAGTGCTGTTCGACATCTTTCGAGGTTGACAACGACAATTTGTCAAACCTTTGAAATTTATGTCATGTACGTCCGTGTACTGTCAGTTCACGCTTTTCCATCAATTTATTTGTGGTTATGTCTGATTGTCAGTGCTTGTCATAGTGTCCGTACTCTAATATACAAAAACGTCAAAACAGTAGTGTCAAGTACATTTAGGAAGTCTAGCTAACATAACCTAATTTTTGATAATATTTGATGACAATCAGGTCCCAATCAGATGCAAAAGTCGCATTGCAGTCAATAGAAACACATGATTATCAACAAATAATATTCTACAAAAAATTCAGAAATACCTTTGGTATTATAAAGTCTAAGCAGATTCGAATAGTTTTATTGTACTGACGAGTTTCAAGGAATGTGTACCTTACTAATTTTGGAACTGCCATGAATGTACTTACACCTATGATGGTATGTAACCCATATATTTTGATGAATAACGTTTATACTTTAAATAATTTTGATCCTGTTTATTTTAGTCTGATTACCTCCATGAATACCTATTCTGAATTCAATGATCTGCATAATTATGTATATGTGATCATGAAGTATTGAAATTATGCAACTTTCGAATCAGTCGCTAGATGGCATAATATTTTGAGGAAGCAACGCCGATATACAGAAGATTTTTATTATTGAAAAAATAAATACTCTTATACTGAATACAATGGAATTTGATGCTGTGTATATTTATGACTGTCTTATGTTTATATTTAAGAATTGAACAAATTTAATTTTCAAGCTGAACGCAATTAAATTACCATGAATCTAAATGTTTTACATCCTATCGACCGTTTAACATCAATTTAAAGGAGTCCACATAACACATGCATGAAGTTCTAAGTGACCAAACCATATATGCTGCTAGTGAATACTTGAATTATTTTTTCCTGGCTATATGCTACGACAAACATTGGATAATATCTAGTGAACATATTGAACCATCAACATTTTGATAACCATATATACCGTTCCTTTGATTCCGAATGCCCCCTTTTCCATGACTTATGGGACACCCTGTATAGTTTGGTAATGTTCCCTTCGACCGTTTTTCACTTATCGAGCTTTCACAATATTGAATCAAAATTGCCAATAGCATTTAGATAACCGTGGACACAACCGAATGCCATGGAAACAAAACAGGCGTCCGTTTATTATAACATATTACTATTATTATTTAATATTGATAAGACCAATACATTTCAAGACGTACGGGAAACTCGAAAAAAGTACATTTGAATGACTGAACACTACCTTCGAGTCACCACCATCCATTGAGACTTTACTGCAGATTGTTCAAGACACTTTCTCTTCTTCAAAAGATCTTGTTTTCAAATTCTTATCGTGTATGTTCAATAGATGTAATTCAATGTTCGTCGTGGCATATAGCCAGGAAAGTATTTGTTTTCTGTTGAATAGACCGAGAAAGAATTGATATTTTCATCGCATAGAGAATGCGAATTCTCAATGTATTTCTTCATAAATATATCAATATTTTTTATGTTCATAATTATATCTGAGAATATTCCTTTTCAATACATTTTGAATTTATGTATACTGGGTCAAACGCACACAAATTCTTCTATTTAGCCAATGGGTGGAATGAAGAGATATCTCTACACAGGTAATTTCATCCATTCATTATATGTGTACTTTTGTACATTTTAGACTATTCAAGGAAAAAAAACTCCAAAAATTATCTTCATTTAAATTTTTCGATGTTTCTTGGTATCTCGAATTTATTCCACATATAACACCATTTTATGTTGTGATAATAACTAATAATTACCTCTGACTTCAATGGATGTTTCACTAATGCAACAGTCGAGGTGATGCGCGTTGACCCAACTCAGTTTTCGAATTCGTCCTTGGATTGCGAGATCTTTATCCTCATCATTTGTGAAAGGAGGACAAAAAAGGAATCTGAAAATAGAAGGAGAAATTATCATAAGTAATATTACGCACGATGTTCTGGATATTGGAGATAATTATGTCGCTTCATTGTTCACGAAATTGTGTTGCCGAGTAACAACACGTGTCCTTCAGGAACACAATTGAGTAAAACCATAACCACTGAGGTCATTATTTTTCTTTAACTACTGAGGTGGAGTCATATAGACTCCGACTATCATATAGTTTTTATCAAGGTATGAATATTGAAATAATTGCAATCTGAGTGCAACACTATTAGGATTGATGATTTTGAAAGTACTTATCGTTAATTTTGACAAAAGGACATCGTAGATGTATTATAATAACATTTATTTGCAAATACGGTACCAAAAAAAACATATTACTTTTACGGTCATTTCTGATCTTGTAATGAGAGAATGAATTTCATGATAGCGTAAGGTACTAGAGGTTGAAAAAAGTAAAAACGTGAAAACAAGAAAAACTTGTCGGAGGAAAAATGTGTGCAAGCGGTTATTCTAATTCCCCTAGTTCACACAGGTTGCAAAGATTTTTCATGAATATCCAAGACAGATTTGCTACCTGCAGTGAGTGCTTAGATAGGTATTTTGTCTTCCTGTGTAACCTGGATGAACAGAGGAAACAGTACCGTGTATTTTCAAGGCCATTTCCTCATCACGAACGAGAATGACCAGTTTCACTTAGATCGTTGTAAAGTTCATCAAGCCAACCAATCCAAAGTTCTGCTAAGTTATTATCAAAGGGATTGTTTGTAGGTGAGTGTCACGCTGGGAAATCATTCCTATTCTGTTTTTATCCTATGAAATTCATTATTAGTGAGAAGTGAAAATAATGAAAAAAGTTATGTACTGACTGAGGTGGAATCTGCGAGTCTACTTCAACTGCTGATAACAAATTATGCAATTAGAGCATGCGGCTGCGCTAGACTGCACAGCTAGACGGACCTGAGGTCAGAAGGTACTAGAGGCGGTGGAGTGAGGAATTAAAAGATGGAGGTGGGATCAAGAGTTGAAGGTGTCGCGGAGTTTGAGAGACTCCACCTCAGTGGTTGAGGGTTAACAATGAAAGACAGATTTATGAAAAGATACTCAGAACAGAGTGGTATTTTGCTAGACTATTTCACGTTCACGAAGCATAAAAGGCATGGGTGATTTATTCTGACAACTTTAGCTATACTTATTTTAAGCCAAACTGACAGACTTTGCTTCGCTATCCATGGTTACATCGTTCAAAACTCCAACGCTGATAGAACAATCAGAATTGAATGACCGCTAGTGTTTTCGCGATAACACAAGTTGTCTCTGGCTTGTGGTTGGTCAGATTATAAAACAAAACTGCTGGTACAAAAATATCTTTTATCAAGGAGAAATATTTCATCATGAAACTACAAGTTTTTCAATACTCATCCAGAGATTATAATATTTATTTCAGGGAGTATATTTCAGAATAGAAAATTGTAAATCAGAAAACATTGAGTGTTATTCAAATTGATGAAATGAAATTCAGTTACTGTAACATATAATTCAGATTACTTAATTGAATTTCAGAATGTGTGATATGAAGATCACACAATTGTTAATCAAACAACCTGTATGTATTCATTCTACAAGACAGAAGTTTTTTAATTAGAATATTCATTTTCTAGGAATCACCTTTAATATGTAAATACAGGGTGTTTTAATTGAATGCTGATCCTTAAGGGCGATAGTCCTTGGGTGATTTCAAAGAGAAAAGTTCATATCAATATATGTCCTAAACCTCTTAGTTATTGAGCTACAGGGTGATGAAATTTCAAGAAAAAAATGAGTTTTTCATCATAATTTCTTATCACTCTTAGATATTGTTATGAAATTCTGTATACACCTTTTCATTATTAAGGAGCATTTTTTTACGTGAAAGATATTTGAAAAATTCTCACCAGTGGCGTCCGTACAAGGTTTGAACTGACAATTTTTGAAGAAAAAATAGTACGCCACGGATTTTTATGAGAACCAGATTTTTTTTTCAATTCTTATTCATTATGGAGCAAATTTGGTTCCTAGACTTACTTTCATATAACGTACCGTTTTCGCGTAAAAAAATAAATACCAAAGAATTTTGTTCCTATTATTTTTGAGTTCCCTGAACATGATTTCCTGACTTTTCATATACTAGTGACTAGTGTTACTCCAACCAAACAAGCCTGTTGGATGATGGCTTTTTTTTCGATATTGGATATTATTGTCTATCTTCATTGTTTTTCATTTTTAATTTTTAACTAAGGCTTTATAGGAGCTATGTATATGTACGAGCTTTGTCAACAAATACGAATGTATTTATGGCAATAAAGCATATGTTGAATTGTTGAATTGAATTGAGTTGGTTAACATCAACAACATCTCAATCAAACTAATTATGTTCATGAAGCATCTATATAATTAACTCAAACAGAGAGAATACCCCAAACCATGAATAATGATTTGAGGTTGGAAACGTTAGAACTTAAAAATAATTTGGAGGTAAACAAGTTTTCAACTGCAATAAAAGGATGAAAGTTAAACAAAGTTTATTTTTTACCAAAATTTTTATTTTACTTTATTTCCTGTTGAGTGTTGTAACAATAATTTACTTGCTGTATGTACCCCTTTGAATTCAAAGCAACCTGTAGCATAGATAGTTTATAACAAAGGGTGAATATTGTCATTCTTTCATGGATGTGTATTCTATCACATGTATCCAAAAATCTTAACAACGATTGAATGGAAAAATTGAATTCATATTCATTACAATTTTGCAGTCAATAGAAATTGAATATGTCACTGTAACTCACCTGTAGAGACTCATCATACTGTATTTTTCAAAGAAATCCAACAGCTGATCTTTAACATCACTAGGGACAACCTGGTAGACCGTATTTGTGAGCAAACGGTTGTCGTATTTGTTATAATAATTCTGTGCAATCTCGGCCAAATCTTCGATTGGTTTCGTGTCCAATCCACAAAATATCTCTGTCACTATTGATTGAGCACACTTCAGTAAGTCCTTCCTAACGAGCTCACCCCATTCGCCGTACGTCGAGATGAATTCTACTAAGAGTTTGTCAGTGTCGGGGGTGGATTGACGCATGATGTCAGCGTATCTCTCAGGACGACCAGAATCTGAAGAGGCGAAGAAATAGTATATTACACACCGAGGTCAGGAATTAAACTTTCTACCGGGTTTGTATACTATTTTATTTACAACCATTATATTTCGATCAAAATTAATATATCTCTGTTACGTTCTGGACATACCTGAAATATTACATAAGTGCGGGCGGGAAGTGAGGGCAGGAAGTAGAGGTATGTAATGTGACACTTCCCAACCTTTAATTACTTTATTAATGACAACATTACATATATGGTTGTAAATGAAATTCAAGTATATTATCAACAGAAATATCACGGGATAGTTCTGTCGCTTTATTGTTCACGAAATTGTGTTGCCGACCAACACCACCGCTATGCGGCAAAACAATAGAGTCAACAATTGAAGACATAATTATGAAAAGATATTCAGAACAGGGTGATATTTAGCTAGACAATTTCACGAAGCATATGAAGCATTTTTCACCATAAGTTAACATGGAATCAACACCTACAAAAAGTTGTTCAAAGAAGTACAGTAGCCTTCAATCTGTGCAGACGAATGTACGGACAAAATCGGGGACTGCAACCAAAAATGACCACATGGCTCTATGCCAGTGTCATTAGGCCCAAGATAGCATATGGGTCGGTAGTTTGGTAGCCGAAGACACGACAGGCTGGAGTGATTCGAAGGTTCAGTGCCATTCAAAGGCAAGCTTGCCTGAGCGCCATTGGTGCAATGATGACCACTCCAACAGCCGCTTTAGAGGTCCCCTTGAACTTGCCACCACTACAAATATACCTCCAAGGCGATGCCAGAGCAGTCGTGAGTAGATTGCCTAGGAGTCAAACACCTATGAGCAACACGCACGGTAAAGACTACAGGAAGCTATATGAAGAGTTGGTAAGCGACCCCATCATGGGAATGCCAACAGATAGCATTAATTCCAAAATATAGCTTTGAAAAAACTTTTGAAATAAGTATAACGGACAGAGAGGCATGGGAGGAAGGACCTCCTATCAAATCAGGAACATTGCTGTCTCTACGGACGGCTCCAAAACCGAGGAAGGGTCAAGAGCTGGTATTTATGGGGCCAAACCAAAGACAAGAATCTCGCTGAGCTTAGGCAAATACGCGACTTTGTTTGAGGTAGAAATTATTGCAATACATTATTGCGTAAAAGAATTGATAATGTAAGAGTTTAAAGGGATGCCATTGCAATCTATTCGGATAGCCAGGCGGCAATCAAAGCAGTTAACTCAATGCAAGTTAACTCAAAGCTAGTATGGGACTACTCAGAAATTCTGAATGAACTGGGCAGTCAGAAGAGACTGACTATAGCATGGGTACCAGCACAGACGAGGGCCATGAAGAGGTAGACTCACTTGCTCGAGCAGGAGCAAACAAAGCTCTGATTGGTCCAGAACCCGTTTGTGGTGGAAAGCTATACAAAAGACAAGTATCAAATTATGGATGCAAACCAAATCTCAAGAAGAGTGAAGATAATAGGACAGGAAGAAAATCTTACAGTTGAAACTCCATTAAAACTGATGAAAATTCATGAAACTACTTGTTCATTTCTGGATGTATACAATTTGTTACTGCACCGAAATACAAAAACGATGTCATTTTTTTCCTTAATGTATATTCTAGAATCTAGAGAAACATGTAGGTGGCCCATAGGGGTTCCATTTGAAAAAATTCAATTTTTGATCACAATGTAATGTGACTGAAATGATTCATCGATAATTGACAGAAAAATATTTTTTCAGAAAAAAATATGTTTTTCTAGTATATGGGACTCATTGTGAACAGCATTGACCACAACTCATTTTTACACGAGGTAAAATAAAATAACAATTTTATTTTAAACATTTTCCAAAAAAATGAATTTGACATTGAAATTGCACTTGTTCTGACCTGTTGTACTTGAATATAGGAAAATATACAGGGTGTTCAATTTGAAAAAACAGAGTTGCTGGCATTTCCAGAAGATCCTGAAATATTGGATTGTAATGTGATCAAATCCGAAATGGTTACTTATATAACTGTACCGAATTTCAGAAAAGTCCGTTCACGAATGCAGAAGTTACAGGGGTGGCCCGATACCCTGTGTCACCCGGTAAGTATCACCAAAGCGATTCATTATGACATCCACGAAATGAGATGAGAATTCGAAGCTACTGCTACTGTTTAGTGTTCCGTAATTGTTGACTGTGGCCAGTAATGTCAGCAATATCGGAACATGATCGAAGTAATATCACATTATGAGAGGGAAAATTGAAATTAAGTAGATAATATCCGACAAAATAGATAATTGCCTGGCTCAAAAGAGGAAGATGCAGGCAGATTATGTGGGGAGGGGAAGGCAACCTCTATTTACATACTCACGGAATGTATCTCCCTACAGAACTCAAGGGCAATAAATCTAGGAGCACACATAAAAGAGGGGAAGAAGCTACCCTACCTGAAACCACCTCAAATCCTGAAATTTCTGAGGACTATAATAGGACTAGAGAAATTGCTCGAAAACAACTTTGTCGGGTATGGCAAAAGAAGGGGGTACAATAGATCTTTGAGGCAGCAATGTATTCACACCGTATGCATACAATACAATCTGGAAAATATGTCTGATTGATGACAGCTATACCAAATCAATAAACCTCAGATTATTCTAGCGACAATGTAGATTATTTCTACTACAAACATATTTTGATTGACTGAGACTTGCAAAAATGACTGAAATAGTTTCTATTGGTTATCAGAAACATCAATGAAATGAACAATTTATTCTAACTCTCTTTTGATAATACCTACTAGATAATACATTCAATAATAATACTGAAGGAACACAAACGTCACTTTATATTGATGATGAAACTCAAAGTGCTTCTTTCATTCAACTAGTTTTTCTATTTAGAAGAAACCATTTTGAAAACAATATTGGTTAAACATATTTTTTTCCATGAATGTGAATAACTTTTGCATTACGTACCTTTAACATTAGATGATTTTCTGAAAACTGGTAAACTCTTTAGGTATTTATTTTTCTTATCAGTTTGCTGCCTCTTCTTTTCTTCGAATTTCGTAAATCCAGACATTTGGGTTTTTGAATTCTCTGGTGTTTGATTCTGAAGAGATTTTCTTTGTCGCACATGGTCCATGTGGTTTCGGTAACATTTTGAACAGTATCCTGAAAAATTGGCATTTTTGATAAATATGTTTGCACTCTAATCTCGAATAACAATAAAATTATCAAACACCGATCATATGGTGAACTAAAAACAGTACGTAAAGCTAATGGATGTCATTAGAGTTTCATTATCGTGATATTTTGGGATTGATATGTGTATTTGCTTGAATTGTAAATCGTATAAGTCATCAAATCATATAGCGTGATGAAGTATCAACAATCATAACTGAAATAATTGACAATAATATAGTACTAATAGATATAATCCGTTTTCATAAGATCAGGAAAAAAGTTCAATATATACAAAAAAAATCAGTCATATCCACACAATGTTCATAAAATAAACAACAATGGTAGATTTCGGAAGAAAAACAACTACTTTCCTGGATAATGCCACGCAGAACATTGAATTTCATTCTACCGAAATCTATGCATCGACTCGTATAAACGAATACTGATACAAGTGATTCTTTCCTGAATGCCTATTGATTTCGATTTAACCAGGCCACGGTAGACCGCTACAGACCGGTTTCGAGCTCTTTGACTCTCATCAGTGCAGCCACCACTCCCAAGACCGCCAACTAAGCGTAGCCTAGCCATACAAAAATCAAGTCGGCATAATATTCCCCCAGAGGCGTCGTTCATAGACAATAAGAAAGCAACGCCATTTGAGTAGAAAAGAAGGAAAGAAACACTCCATAACTGAAATTCCCATACGGGAAGTTCGTCTGTGATCTTCATCTGTATATAACATTGGTTAATCATCAACTTTCTATTGGAGAATTTTTCTTGATAAAGCGTAGGTACCTACTAAATTACTTAGAATTGAGTAGCCTATTGGGCTGTACCTACATGCATATTTGTAATGAGCAGTGAGCACTTATTCGTTAGGATTTTTTGAAATGCGGAGCTGCAGATCAAACCTTGAAATCAGATTTTGAAAACATTCCTAATATATGGATTCAATTTCAGAACTATCCATATACAAACAACAAATAATATCAATGAGTGTGCTCAGATAGCAAAAATGTTAATGATGAAATGTAGGTATTATCTTGGTTCAAGATGTTATGGCATTATACTTCTCCATGAATGCATTGAAATTATAGTTTATTGTTCACTTCATTGTTCCTCATCTACACTTTTCCAAATACTAGAATTGTGTGAAGAGTAACATTTGCGAAGGATCGAATTAAGAACATACAGTGTGTAGTTGTGTTTATGAGAGAACACGGGATTGAAGAAGAACCTAGGTATGTAGGTACATATCAAATGCGCTTGTTTTTGAATTAGTACATTAGAAATATTGTTTTTTTTTTCTGATAATCAGATGTAATAGCCTACTTCAACTTTGATAAGATTTTATTCTTCAAATAGTCTCATGTCATCATCACCAATTTAGTCCAAAATATTCTATCTCGATCTCCATTTTCCAAAATAGAGAGTGAAAAGCAGCCATAAATGCCAATACAAAATAGTTATTTATTATAGGTACAAGGTAAAAAAGTAGTAGATTTTAGCTCCAGGTTGTGTTGTCACCCGACGCGTGCGGAGGGAGACAAAAAACGTGAGTTTTGAACAGTAATGACACCTGCCTTGCAGACATCTTTATCATTTTTTTGAAATAATCATATTGAGAATTTAGTTGTTGTTTAGTAATTTACGTAACCACGAAGTAGAATGGAAGATAAAAGGACATGCAGTTCTTTCTGGGAGACGGTGTTTTTTTTTCGGAACTATAGGTAGCACACCAAAAGCCATCAACAGTGTATACAGGGTGATTCATTGGGAAATGCGCATAGAGTAAGGGTAGACGGAGGACACCGAGGTGCTTCTAAATAATATATATTTAATGGGTCTATCATTCTTCGTTGCTGAGATACAGGGTGATTTATCAATTTTCTATTTTTTTTTCAATTAATCATAACTTATGAACCACCCTATACATTTTTGTGATATTTGGTGGACATGTTCTTTGTCCACAGATGTGTCGATTGACATAATAAGATGAAGTCCCATTCCAGGTCCGGCCTTAAAAAAATTAATAAGTAGGTTTTGAGTCGAAACAACACCCTGTATATCAATATTCTGGACTTTCATTCACAAATTTGAAAAGAACAGGAAAAAATAAGTCAGACTGGATGTATTTTGTGTTTCCGCATACAACTTTTATACCTATTAACTTGAGTCAAATCTAGATGTTTCGATAATGAGGTGGCACAAATTTGAAAAAAAAAAAAAATTATCGTCCCAAAATAGTACTTTTCCATTTTCAAACCATGAAATCATCAACTATTTCTCACTCTCCTAATTTTTGATTCCCAACCTGATTGAAAAACGAGAGGACAGGTCCGTATTTGGGAAACATTATTATTATCAATGACTAACTATAAACACCTTGTATGTGCAAGAAAATTGTCGTAACATTTGTTTATTGCCCTACATTTGAAACAACAATAATTATCATGGAAATAAAGAACAATGCTCATTCCGAAAAGAGTCATAACTTTGTTTTCAACAGAAATAGCTTTGAACATAACAGAAAATCGAAAAACTAGTATTGTTGTAATTTTCAAGTTGGCTGATGTCAGAGTACAATTTTGACGTTAGTTAATGACTTAAGAGTGTGTACCTGTGTATTGTGTTGTTACGTTATTCGTTGATAAAAAGTTAACACTTACTCAAAATGCCACATAAATTCAATAATAATGAATATGCAGACATGTTGTATGTCTATGGATACAGTGACGGTAATGGGAAAGCTGCCCAATTAATTGGACCCATATCTTACCACATGTACTAACAGGAGATATGAATTTGGACTTCCTGCAAAATACTTTGCCTGTATTGCTTTATGATGCAGGAGTTGATGTTAGAGGCATGTACTTTTAACATGATGGGGCTTGCCCTCATTTCAGGGTGATAGTAAGAGAGTTCTCAAATAACAACTTCCCGAATCATTGGATAGGCAGAGGAGGACCTCACAACTTGCCTGCAATGTGCCCAGATTTTAAACCACTCGATTACCATGTTTGGAGTTATTTGAAATTGAAAGTTCATTCAACTGAGGTTAACACTAGAGGGGACCACCTAAGGAGAATTGAGGACGCATGCAACGTGCTGAGAAATGAGCCAGCTATGATAAGAAAGTCAATTTCAAATCTAACTTTAAGAGCACGGAAATGTATTGAGCGAAATGGAGGCCACTTCGAACAACTGTTATAAGTTATGCTGTTGAATTTTCTTTGCATCTTATTGTTTTTGTTTAACTCGATACAATTTGTTGCAACGACATTTTTGTTCGAAATAAATTATGCTTTTTCCGAAATGGGCATTGTTCTTTATTTCCATAATAATTGTTGTTTCAAATGTAGGGCAATAAACAAATGTTACGACAATTTTCTTGCACATACAAGGTGTTTATAGTTAGTCATTGATAATAATAATGTGTCCCAAATACGGACCTGTCCTCTCGTTTTTCAATCAGGTTGGGATCCAAAAATTAGGAGAGTGAGAAATAGTTGATGATTTCATGGTTTGAAAATGGAAAAGTACCATTTTGGGACGATAATTATTTTTTTTTTCAATTTTGTGCCACCTCATTATCGAAACATCTAGATTTGACTCAAGTTAATAGGTATAAAAGTTGTATGCGGAAACACAAAATACATTCAGTCTGACTTTTTTTTTCCTGTTCTTTTCAAATTTGTGAATGAAAGTCCAGAATATTGATATACAGGGTGTTGTTTCGACTCAAAACCTACTTATTAATTTTTTTAAGGCCGGACCTGGAATGAGACTTCATCTTATTATGTCAATCGACACATCTGTGGACAAAGAACATGTCCACCAAATATCACAAAAATGTATAGGGTGGTTCATAAGTTATGATTAATTGAAAAAAATTAGAAAATTGATAAATCACCCTGTATCTCAGCTACGAAGAATGATAGACCCATTAAATATATATTATTTAGAAGCACCTCGGTGTCCTCCGTCTACCCTTACTCTATGCGCATTTCCCAATGAATCACCCTGTATTCATCCGGAAAAAAATACTCGCTTTTTCCCGTGGGAAAAGAGTAATTCACGAAAAAAAAGTTACATTTTATGACCTGACAACACAGATGAAATTTGGAACTTTTTTCCCGTCACAGAAAAAATAACTTAATTGATCTGGTGTGGGCAGTAGCGAAAAACATCTAAAACTGATCAAATTAATGTCGAAAAATTGATTGCTTCTGATGAAGGATATTAACAATACCATTCAAATTTTTCCCAGATTGATGATTCTATTTTCTGGAATAGTGTTTGTCTGTTGATCACCTTCCCTTTAAATTCCACGATGATTTTTGCAATTCACGAGAAGGAATCAGATGCCCCACTCTACTATTTTCATAAGCCTGACTGAATATCTGACACAAACACAATGTATTCAATGTAATTGATATGGATAAATCTAGGTTCTCAAGACTCAAAGATCCAGGGAGAATTTCGTGAATAGACTATCAGCAGTATCAGCTGATGCAAAACAGACTGTTTCGGCTTCCAAGTTTCATCAGTTGCACTAGACCAGCTGACAGTCGATTCAAGAAGGGATCTTCAATAATATATGCTACGAAGCAAAGCTCAAATGGTGGAGAAGGTCGGTCTAGCTCTCAGAGCTATCTGATTAATAGTCGCGTCGTGTATATAATCTGAGCAGGTTGAGCTAATGAAAATAGCAGAATGAAGGCCCAGGTGTTATTGGTTATTATACATACCATCCCAATCTGCATTTCCATAAAACCCACATCCACTTTTACACTTCAAATCGGCTTGCTTTATCCTAAGAGATGGCTGTTTGGTTGCGTACATGATGTACTTGTAGGAACGCTGCAAAGTTAACACAGGCATTTCGATAATAAACTTAGAAACTATGAATTAATAAAATTGACCCACTAAAAAAGTCTCTGTCTTTTATGTTTCCCGATGAAGGGAAAAACTACTCCCCAAAAAGAAACAATTCTATGGCGCCATATTATGCAGCTGAAATATCAGCCTTCGAAAGAGCCGAGCGGTTAATATTTTTTTCCCAAAAATACTTTTCGTGCTCGATGACCCTTTACCATGGGGGTACAAAGCTGTGATCGTGCGCGCACAAGTTCAGCTCTTTCATCTGGTCCACACAAAATTGGGGGTATTTCAAAAATGCGACGACGACTTCCTTGGATCCTTGGAGTTTTGGCAAGGATGTGCAACTTTGCAGCGCGGGGATATTTAAAACTTCACCAGGATCAGCCATTTGGTTTTACAAGAAATATTAACTCCTTTTCGTAACAGTTTGGTGAATATCGATGGATTCGAAATATTTCTTTTGTACACTTGTACAAAATGGAAAGCACTTGAAGTTGATTGAACAATTTATTGAATAAGAGATAATAAACGCTTTATTACTTCAAAGTAGAAACTGATCGAATTCTGTGAGATTTCAGCTATTTATGCGCCTTCAAGAGATAAACATATACGAGAGGCAAAAGAGAAATAATCTGTTCAGAGATAAGTAACAGACAAGTAGGTTGTTGTTTTCGTGAACAGCCAGTGTAAACATTTTTAATGAAATATCACAAAATTAATTCAAGACTGTCTAAATGATGATTATTGATGTTTTCGAATGAAATGTCAATGAACGTTTTTAGTGAGGCCCTATCAGTATGTATCAATAGATAGATAGATACCTACCTATTAATTGATTTGAGGAATCACAAACTACTTTTCTTTCGATGAAATTTCACAATTAAGATGAACTTAATATCCTCCTGGCATTGGTGTCAATTCTGGTGCACACTTTTAGGAAATAATGGGTGGAATTCTATCATGACCATTAGCCTTATTCGTTCTGAGACCAATCAGAATGAGTTTGATATAGTGCATTTCGACGAAAGGCGATTTGGTGCATTCGACTTTCAACGGGTGGAATGACTGGCAGATCCAGCCCTCGCGTCAGGGGGGCCAAGGGCTTCAGAATCCCAATATTTATATAAATTAATATACAGTGTGTTTCCTAAACATTGATACAATTTCAGGAGGTGTTTCTTGAGTTTTTTTTTTATTAAAAACAACTTCCTGTTAATATTTGTCGAAAAATGCTTCCTAATGGTGCTACGCCCCTCAAAATAGGGCAACCTGAAACGATTTTTCCTCCTAATTTTCGAAACCGTTTATCAAAAAATCATGACATTTGGTAAATCTTATTTTGAATCGAAATTTAAACTCGGAATTCAGAAACAATCTCATTTTTTATGATTCTTTTTCATATTCTGATAACAAAATACACTCAGTTCCAAAAAAAGTGACGCACCTGATCTTCTTAAAAAAAAAACATAGTAGGACGATTTTTATTTTTTTTTATTTGTTGGTAGGTAATGCATTTGTCTTTAGAAAAAAATAAAGAGGTGAACATTTTTTCAATGCCTCCTTGATGATGGTGGAATAACTCGAACCATGATTTATTCTTAATTTTTGACTCACCCTGTGTGTTAATTGAGTAATGGTATACAAAGCGCTTACACCCTATACGAAAGAGGCTCCTTTTGCGTGCATTTTGTTTTTTTATTCATTGATTTATCTCTAAAATTTTTCAAATTACAGCTTTTTTGCTGATACCTTACGCTTATCCCACAAATTAAATTTATTTAAGGATCAGAGTACTCAAAATTGATTGCGTTGTACTCTGGTAGGATCACATTATTGTCTTGAAAAAAAAGCCGTTGCCAGAGCAACTAATTTGTTGTATGCCTCCATATTTGACCATTTGTCGTTGTGTCATTAATTAAGTGTCTTGTTTTATCGACTAAAATTACATAAAATGCCTCAAATAAATCCTGAACAAGTAGCAAGATTAGTTGCGTTAGTAAACGATGGGCATAGTAAAAGTTAATTATTGCCCGAACATCGTGCTGCTAGAAGAAATTTTTTTGAAAATTATGGACAGTGGAATATTCCTGAATGGTCGAATGTCTTGTTCACGGATGAGTCAAGGTTTTGCCTTAAGATGGTGGATGGAAGAAAAAGAGTGTGGAGAAGAACTGGTGGACGGTTTAATCAAAATTTAATAACAGAATGCGAAAGTTTTAATGGTGGGTCCGTTATGGTGTGGGGAACGATTTCAATGAATGGAAAGACACCCCTTCATGTTTTTCCGGTGAGGCAGTCGATGAATGCCCAAATTTACATTGACATTTTACAGCAGTAGTAGTAGAACAGTCTTACCTTATGCAGAGTTAGTGGGCAATAATTTTATATTGATGCAGGATAATGCCCGACCAACCACCGCAGCAATTGTGCGGAACTTCTTAGAAGCTACTGGTATTACCACATTACAATGGCCTGCGAGAAGCCCCGATATGAATCCTATAGAACATTTGTGGGATGAATTAGGGAGAAGGGTACGTTCTCGCGAGAGGTCTCCGGAAAGTCTCGCAGAAATGGCAGATGCATTAGTGGAAGAATGGGATCGTATACCAATGGAAACGATAAGCAACTTAATTTCCAGTATGCCTCGTAGATTAGAAGTTCTTAGAGTTGCTAGAGGAGGAAATACACGGTATTAAGCAGTCATCCCAATTTATAATTTTGTGTTTAATAAAAATGTTTTTTTAAATTATTGGTATCAGTTTATTTCATTAGAAAATTGTTTCTCCATAAATTCAGAAAGTTGGTAATCTGCAAGGAATCAGCAAAAAAAGCTGTAATTCGGAAAATTTTAGAGAGGAATCAATAATAAAACAAAATGCTCGCAAAAGAAGCCTCTTTCGTAAAGGGTGTAAGCACTTTCTATGCCATTACTCAATTAACACACAGGGTGAGTCAAAAATTGAGAATAAATCATGGTTCGAGTTATTCCACCACCATGAAGGAGGCTTTGAAAAAATGTTCACCTCTTTATTTTTTTTTAAAGACATAAAAAAATAAAAATCGGCCTATTTTTTTTTAAGAAGATAGGTCGAATATCAAGTGCGTTACTTTTTTTGGAACTGAGTGTATGATCATATCAATGGGGCAAGTAGATTTCGAGAAAATCGCAATTCTCTGAATCAATGCATCGGCACCATAAAGACGGGTTTCCCTGATTATTTTCAAACCCGCTCACACTGAAATATTGAAATTTGGTACACTGCATGAACTTTCAACGCCAGATAAGATTCTGAGCTCAAAATTTCAGAATTTTCGTCAGAATAGTTATTTTTGTATCTAGAGCGCGAAATGCTACTTTGGTGATCGAGATCTGATTTTTTTAACGAGGCATAGCCGAGTTGAAAAAATAGTCGAGATGACCAAAGTATTTCGCGCTCGAGTTGCAAACAACATTTTTTCTACAAACGTCAAACAATATAGTTCTGAAGTAAAAATATGCTTAGCTATATATAAAAAATAGTGTTGAACTGGCTTAAAAGGCCTCCCTCTATCCTCCCTAGGTACGCACGATGTTCCACGAACATAATAGGAATATCCTCTCGTGCGCTCCAAGAGATAAAACAAAGTTATTGTTGAACATTCAGAAATAAATGATTTCGTGGATGTTTGCTCGATTGAGGACCATAAAGTTGAAATATAAATATCTCATATATTTTACATAACAATGCGCGAAGTAGGCACTTCGCGCACTGTTTTACTTCGCGCATTGTTTTGTGCAAGGTATCATGGTAATGTTGGAAACTGAAAAAAAAGTGTCACTTCGCAATTTGTTGTCAATGCGCGAACCTTGTCATTTTTTGACGTTTGTAGAAAAACGTATTATACTGAAGTTATTGCGGGTCAAAACAACCCCATTTGCTTGACGATTTATTTTCAACATTTTGATTATTGATTTATCAGAGTTTTGGAAAATGTTGACGTGCACGTCAAAATTTTTGAAGAATCTAATGATATATAGGACTTATTTTTTCCGAGTAAATAGCAGTTCATTACACGGATACCCATTATCTTCTTACAAGCAATCGAAAACTGGGATTCTAACCTAACCCCTTTACACTTGTGATGGCGATTTTGAAATGTTCAGCTCTGGATTTAATTTGGCGTGAAAAGTATGTAGCGTACCAAATTTCGAATTTTCAGGTGCCGATCGAGGTGCCGATGTATCATTGTCGACATCATTGTGGAAAATTGCGATTTTTTTCAAAAACAACTTGCCCTTCTTCTTCTTCTTCTTCTTCTTCTTCTTCTTCTTCGAAGCACTGGTGGGCGGGTGAACCCCCTGCACGTGGGCCTCCATATTCGGGCCCATTGTGCGCCCACATGTTACAACATTCAGCTGGGTATGCCGACTGCCTTGGAGAAGTTCAGCAGCTTCCTCAGCTGAATCTCTTTTACGTCCTCTGGCCTCAAGATTATGTTGCCAAGGGCAGCCTTCCTCTGATGCGTCAGTGCTGGACACTCAGTGAGGACATGTGATGACGTTTCGTCATCTTCCAGGCACCATCTGCAAAGGGGGTCATCCTTGATCCCAATAAGCTCTAGGTGCCTATTGAGGTGGTTGTGCCGCGTTAGGAGCCCCACTACCATTTTGAGGTTTCGCCTGTTTAGGAATAAAACCTCTTTTGCGAGCCTCTTCGAAGGTTCCTTTATGTGGAGCTTCGATTGTCTCATTCCTGGTGTGTCCTTCCATATTTTGAGGAATTGCTTTTGCAGCTGTTCCTCTATAGAGGACATTGCCAGGCTATTTGGTATTCCCAAGATTGGTTCCGGTCCGACCGGGGTCCGTCCTGAACCGATCTTTGCCAGTCTGTCTGCCTCCTCGTTTCCGGGTATTCCCGAATGTCCCGGAACCCACATGAGGCTGACAACTTGCCCTATAGATTTGAATTAGGAGTACCTTCTTCACATAAAAAACCTTCAGGTATGTATCATATTCTGAG